GGGTTGTTTGTTTGTTTGTTTGTTTGTATGTTGGCTGGCCTCATTGGTTACACGAATAGAGAAAGAGAGGGAGAGTGAGAGAGAGAGAGAGAGAGAAAAATTGACGTTGATTATTTTCGATACTCGCTTGATTTAAATTTTTTCAATTTTTTTTTTTTTTTTTTTTTTTGTTATTTGTGACGACATCCTTTTCATTAAAGGCAATTTGTGATTGACCTTTTCGATCGTGAAAAAATACAAAAACAAGAGTGTAAGAGGTTGTTGAGAGTTAAATAACACGCACATACACGCACACACGTTTACGATCTCCCAATTAAAAGCAGAGAAGTTTGTTTTGAAAAATTATTATTATCATTACTGTAAGCGTGAATTACGATTCGGACCGGAAACGTTGGTTAATTTAATATTGAATAAATATCTTTTTTTTTTTTTTTTTTTTTTGTTTTATTTTTAAAGATTTCCAAATTTAGTTTTGTTGTACATCCTTAATTGTAAAGGGAAGTGACGAAAGAGCGAGAGAGAGAGAGAGAGAGAGAGAGAGAGAGAGACTTTTTGTTATAGGAAGGAAAGATGGGGAGCCACGTCGTGGCACGATCATTATTTGGTACGCATACTAATTTTACCAAAGAAGAAATTAAATTCCCCCCTCCCCCCTACGTGTGATGCACACCGAAATTATAAATACACGTACACGCACGCACGCACGCACGCACACACACGCACACCGGTGACCCACATCACGAAGAATTTTGTCTGTTTTTTTTTTTTTTTTCATAACCCAAACAAAAAAAAAAAAAAAAAATTTATTGTAAACCGTTAAGAAATTTGTTTAACTATTTTACTGTTTGCTGTTTTTTTAAAAAGATTTTAATGTAATTAGGATAAAGCGGCAAATTATCGTTATTATTATTATTATTATTCCGTATTGTTTTCCCGAAAGCGTGAAAATTTCGTTGTAGTAATTAATAAAAAAAAAAAAAAAAAAAAAAAACTTTTACTCCTCGTCTACACAGGTAATTGCGAATTTAATAACCGTGCGTTGAATATTGCTTGCCATGGAGAATAAATATGTGTGGCACGTGATATCATGCGTGTGCGTGTGCGTGCGCATGAAGATGATAATAAAATGAGAAAAAAATATCGTTAATTTTTTTTTTTTTTTTTTTTTTTTTTTGTAATTCTGCATTTGGGCAAATGTCGCGTAGTATGGTGTATAAGAGAATATAAATAATTAAGCGTCATTTGGTCCGAGTAATTCGTTTTAATATTTGTAACGAGAGAGAGAGAGAGAGAGAGAGAGATGGTTGTGCGTACAGGGTTTTACAGGTTTTGACACGAATGAATTGATGGAAAAGTCCGCCGAGTAAATCACATTTGATGGAAAAGGATTGATAAGGAAGAAAAAAAAAACCGGTATTATTGTCCTTTGATTCTTTTTGTGTTGATTCGAACGAGTCCGTAGGTTGACGAAGAAGCAGAAGAAAAAACAAATTTTCTTGTTCAAGAAGACGTGAGGTTATGTTGTTTTTATATAGAGAGGGAAATAATCGAGTATCATCATCATCATCATCATCATGTGTTTTATATAGTCTTCCTGCCTCTTAATTTATTATTTAAAAGTCAATTTAACTATGTAACTTTAAAAAAAAAAAAAAAAATGAAGTTAATAATGCGGGATGTTTGAAAAAAAAAAAAAAAAAAACTTTAGGACGTCGATTTTTTTTTATTTGAAAAAAAGTTTGTTGTTACGAGAGTTTTTTTTTTTTTTTTTTTTTTTTTTTTTAAACGGAGCAGTAGACAGGCAAATTTAATTTATCGTACGACTGTGTGTGGGTGCGTGCGCGTGCATGCGAATTTTTTCCCCTTTTGATTTTACAATTTGTAGATAAGGTAGAGGTAATCGAGTCTTCTTCCAATTACCAGGTCGAATTTCATAATGGAATTTAAGCTTTTCTTTATCCCCCTCCCCTCCCCTCTGTTTTCAGGATACGTGTTTTGACCATTTTGTTTTCTTGAGGTGGAAATGTAAATCACCTTTGATGGATGGAAAATTTCCATGAAAGGAAAATGAACATTTTACAAATTGTATTTATGTAGCGAAAGATGTTTTCTCTGTGTTACTCTGTTGCATGTTTAAAAGTTTTTTTTTTTTTTTTTTTTTTTTTTTTTGTTATGTTGGTTCGTCTGATGATGAATATATTTAAAAACGTTGTGGTTTCTTTGGTTTCCGTTGTTTTCTGTATTTAAAAAATTTCTCTCTCTCTCTCTCTCTCTCTCATTTGAACCGAGAAGGAGAACATGTTAATTATTTTTTATTGTAGAATTCACAATAGTTTCTTCCAACCCCCTCCCTCCCTTCCTTCCTTCCTCCCTTAGTTTTTATTTAAACTTTTAAAAGGTAGAAATCGTGTGTGTTTGTGGGTGTGTGCGTGTGATTCAATGCACTCCGCACGTTCGTAAAAGAATAAAATAAAACTGATGGCACGAAAACTTTAGTGTTAACTATTTCGGTTTTGAGGAAAATGTGAGTTGGAGTAAACGAAATAGTAAAGGAGAGGAAAAAGAGAAATAACTGTGTGCAAAAGAAGAGGAAGAAGAAGAAGACGGAGAGAGAGACAGAGAGAAAGAGAAACAAAAAGGGAAAACGAGGGAAAATTATGGGAAAAGCTCGAATTTGTAGATGAAAATTTTAGGTGAAAAGTCTCGATCCCCATAAGTTAAACATTGTTTATTAACAAAAAAGAAAAAACCTTAGTAGGAATCGTTCGGGGTCGCTGTTGCTAGGCTGGATAGGGGAAAAGAGAGACTCTCTCACCTCTGCGTAGAGAGTGAGTGAGTGAGAGAGAGAAAGAGAGAGAGAGAGAGTATTGATCCAGGATCCAGACGGCGGCTGGAGTTCGGCCATTCACCCTTCTTTTATACAGAGCTAGCCTTTGTACGTGCATCATCATCATCATCATCATCATCAACATTTATATTTCCTTATATAGAAATTGTACGAAAGCAGTACCCGGCGAAATTTTTTTTGGCAGCCTTTTTCGTTCTTGAACGTCCATTTTTTTTTTTTTTTTTTTTTAAATATTTTAAATCCTGAATATTGTTGTAAAAATGCCGGGAAAAAAAAAGGAAAAAAAGGAAATGATTTTTTTTTTTATTTTTTTTAAATTTTTTCCCCTTCATGTTGGTCGTGAGTTTACATAAGTTTTGTAACACGCATGTGTGTACGCACGCACCCTTATATATTAATATTATTTTCAAGGGGGATAAATATTTGTAAGTCTGTATCATATAACGACGCCCAAAAGTCGAAAAATTCAAGCTACTTACTTTTCCGTCCTTTTTTCTCTCTCTCTCTCTCTCTCTCTCTCTCTTTTTTTTTTTTTACTTTTATTATTATTATTATTATTTTCGCACTGAGAAAAACAAAATCCGTTTTTTTTTTTTTTTTTTTTTTTTCCACGGGGACGAGATTATTTTAAGAGGTGGGACGTCGTTCACCACCTAGGGGTTATTGACTAGCTAAAGTTTTTTTTTTTTTTTTCTTTTTCCTTCTTTCCTTCTTTCTTCCTTCTTTCTTCCTTCTTCCTTCTTTCCTTTTTCACTTCTTCCTTCTTTTATTCCTTTCTTTCTTTCTCTCCTTTTCTCCTTTTTCGTTTTTTCGAAACGCAAATTTTCATTTTCAAATGTTTCCTTTCCTTCCTTTTCTCTTCTGTTTTTTTTTTTTAGCACGGTATTTGACTTGGGGGTTTGTTTGGGGCGTAATGACATACGAAAATAATTTATTGCCCCCCCTCTCTCCCCCGGCTAAAATGAATGATTGAATTCGGAGTATTAAAGAAGAAGAAGAAAGTAGAAAAGAAGTACTCTCTCTCTCTCTCTCTCTCTCTCTCTCTCTCTCTCTCTCTCTCTCTCTCTCTCTCTCTCTCTCTCTCTCTCTCTCTCTCTCTCTCTCTCTCTCTCTCTCTCTCTCTCTCTCTCTCTCTCTCTTTACGGGTTTAAATTTTTAGTTTAATTGCAAATTATAATGTGTTGTTTTGACGGTGAAAAAGAAAAAGAAAAAAAAAAGGAAAATTGGAATTTGGTTTTTTTGGACCCCCTCCTCCCTTCCTCCCCCCCGAAAAAAAAAATTTTTTTTAAACCGAAGGGATTTTAATTCCAATGAATTTTAAAAAGGGGTCGTCGTCGTCGTCGTCGTCGTTTTTGTTGTTAATTTATTTATTTAATAATTTATTGTGAGAAACTTTTTTTTTTTTTTTTTTTTTTATAAAAAGTTTTCGGTTAGCCCCGTTTAATTATTGAAATCTTTGCATCTAATGAAATTTGGATGATGATAGAAAATAATAATGATAATAAATGGAAAAGTTTAAAAAGGTTATCGTATTATCGTCCAGTATTTTATACATATTTTTTTTTTTCGTTTCCCCCCCCCCCCCTCTCTCTCTCTCTCTCTCTCTCTCTCTCTCGTTTTTCCTCAAGTGTTATTTATTTTGAATAATGCAATGTAAACGGTTACTAATTTAATTTGAATATACAAAAAAAAAAAAAAACGTACGTGGAACCAGCCACCAGAATTGAAAAATGTCGATTTCATTTATCCCGACACAATACCCCGTAATTACCGATTATATTATGAGTCACCACACATAAAGTCGCGTTCAAGTAAGAAAGATTAAGGTTTTATTATTATTATTATTATTATTATTATTATTATTATTATTATTATTATTATTGTTTTTGTTCATTGTTCCTCAATTAGTAGGAAGCTGGGATGGTGTTGTAGTAGTAAAGAAAGAAAGTATTGTGTGACCTTTCTCATGGTTAGGTTCATTCAACTTTTTACTTTTTTATTATTATTATTATTATTGTTTTTTTTTTTGCCACATTGGGTGAAATTATCGATAGTGAAACGTATGCATGTTATTTTAAATGGGGTATTTGCGCAAGACGTTTTCTTCCCTTTTTTTTTTTGTAGTAATTTTTTTTTTTGTCTTTGATTGCAGAACGTTGATCACAAAACGAAATTGCGATCGAAGAAAGGACAACTTCCCTTCATCGAACTCAACGGTGAGGAAATCGCGGATAGCGCTATCATCATCAAAGAACTGGCACAGAAATTCGAAAAGGATTTGGACGGATGGTTGACAAATGACCAAAAATCTCACGCTCACGCTCTCACGTCCATGATTGAAAATCATTTCTTATGGTAAGGAGCGATGGAGGAAACCCCCTCCCCCATCCCTCCACTCCTTCCTCACCACCCCATCCGACTCCCCGGTAATAAAATTATTATTATTATTATTATTATTTGTTTTAAAATTGATAAATTGTGTCTTCTTTTGAACTTTTTTATTTATATATATATATATGAGAGAGTAAATCCTTGTTAAGGGAAAAAATACTGTAAAAGTTTTTTATATATATATATATATATAAATAATCGAATAAATAAAATTGGAAAATGTGTAGGAGACGTAGAGAGAGAAAGAGAGAGTGAGAGAGAGAGAAACGAACAATTTTTCCTTTTTTCTTTTATAATCATCCAACTTAATTCCAAAGATTAGATTAAAGTATTGCTTTTTTTTTTTTTTTTTTTTAAAGAAAATTTAATCAATGTTATCAAAATAATTTTTGCTTCTGCTGCAGCTTTTGCTGTTGCTGCTGTCGTTGTTGTTGTTGTTGTTGTCGTTTGGAAAACATGTAATTTATCACCGTTTTTTTTTTTTTTTTTTTTTTTTTTTTTCCATTTCATTTTCCAGGGTTGTGTTGGCGTGGAGGACCAAATATCCGGACTATTTTGTCAAAGGCTACAAACTTAATCTTCAACACGTTTTCGGTTCGAAAATTCCAAATGGAGTATTGAATTTTTTCTTTAAATTTGCTGTCGTGCGAAAAGTGAGTACACACACACACACCCAAAAAAAGAGAGAAAAAAAAGAAGGTGAAGTAGGAGGATGAGGAGGAGACAAAGTCATAATTGTGAAAATTTTAAATTAATTATTTATTTATATGATACTAACAATAATAATAATAATAATAATAACAAAAGAAAATTTACAAGAAGGAGGAGGAAAAGGAGGAGGGGATATTCTTGTCTCTCTCTCTCTCTTTATCTTGTTATTTCTGTTGTCGTCTGATATTATTATTATTATTATTATTATTATTATTATTATTATTATTATTATTGCTGTTATTGTTATTGTTATTACTGTAGGTTATAGGGGTAGGTCGTAGGGATTGATTTTCTTTTTTTTTCTTTTTTCTTTTTAATGATTGATTGACTGATTGATTGATTGATTGATTGATTGATTGTCATGAAAATGATTACAAGCTTTTAATATTTTTGTCTTCGCGTATAACGTATATAATTTTTTTTTTTTTAAATCGTAGGCAAATATTTAATTTATTAGATTTTAATGTTTGTTGTTTTATTTTACTTTAAATTGTTTTCTTTTCTTTTTTTTTTCTTTCTTTTTTCAAGTTTTATTTTTCTTAGTTTTTTTTTTTTTTTTTTTTTTTTTTTCCGGAAAAAAAGCATCGGATAGTTATAATAATGATTAAAAAAGTTTGCTGTCGTAGTTAGTTGAAATATCTATGTATGTATGTATATATAGAATTTAGAAAACATGTCGGAGATGAAAGTCCTTTTTTAGTTTTTTTTTTGTTTTTTCTGTCTCCCCATCCCGCTCGTTTTAATCTGTAAGTTGATTGATTTTAGATGTTCTACCCCCAGGGAGCCAAAAAAGTTAAAGCGCAAGGAATCGGAGTTCACAAGCCGGAAGAAATTATGAAATTCGGTCAGGACGACCTTTTAGCTCTGTCCCAGTCATTAGCCGACAAACCGTTTTTCTTCGGAGACGAGCCTACAACGGTGAGTATATATATATATATAGAAAAGAAAGGGAACGAAAGGTGAAAAGACGGGGAAGAAAGAGAGGGGAAGGGAGAGGGGAAGAAAGAGAGGGGAAAAAAGGGATTTATTTAATTTTTTTTTTCTTTTTATAAAATATAGTAGAGTCGGAATTTATATTATTATCATCCTTTCCTGTCGTCATCATCAAAGGAGTTGTTTTTAAGAGGATGTGTCAGTTTAATCGTTTAATCGTTAACGCATACCTCCCCCTTCCCAAAAGAAAAAAAAAATGAAAAGAAGAAAGTGGAAATTATTT